TCGCCAAGCAACGCGCAGATTCATGCTGAATTTATTTGCTTCCTGAAACGTTTACACCCTCCACACCTAACAAATAGCATAAATAAACAAAATACATTAAGTAAAATTAAAGCACTTACACTATTTCTCAACGAAGTAAATCAAAGTGAGGTGTTGATTTTTTTGGCCATTTGCTCTTCCAGAAAATGACTACTTCCTGGAAGTTTTCTGTATTTGGAGGACCAAAAAAATACAGCTTCCGCCTTCATTCACAACCAGCTAGTAGACTGCACCTGCAAATTTGAGAATGTCTTATCCCAGTGGAAAAGACATGGCAAATTGGATGGGAGGGTTGCCAGAGTCTTTACATTCCTCATCCTTAAATAGCATTGCCATCCCCGGTAAGTTGTGAAATAATGTATTCACGACGATTGAGAAATTATGGTAATTTGAAGTCATTTTTGTAAAATCATTTTATATGATTTGGGTTCACACGTCACATGATTTTTTTTTTCTTGTAATTTGGCCAGTTTCTAGAAATAGTCACATATTTAAGTATGAATAATCAACCATTAAAAATTTAATCTACCTCATTTAGGTCAAAAGTTATCTAAGTTTTCGTGACACCGTGTCTGAATTTTTTTTCAGGCGCCATGCACTTTCAAAAGTAAAACATAACTTGCCCCACTTGATTTTCACTCCCTGAATAATATCACAGAAACTTGAAATTTCTCACATAAGAAGTAGAGGAGCTACGCATGAACACCCAATTTAATTTTCATTCTAGGATTTTACCAAGCAACTGATATGTTTGTGAATTAGGCAAAGTGATAAAATTTTGGGACACAAGTGCGTGCATTATGAGGTGAAATACAAATTGATACATTGTATCTTTCAGTGTTATTGCAGGAGAACATGACCTTTTAAAATTGTCTAAAGCGGGTACAAGAAGGGGGGGAGGGGTAACAAAAGATTACTAAAAAATGTTTGCCCAAATTTCCCCAAAAATTACACTGGTACATGCATGCTGGTTAAAAATCTTAGTCCTTGTTTTGCTATGTGGCATATTTGCCAAATTTTGCTGATTTTTTTCAGAAAAAAATTCGCTTCCCACCTTTCCTTGATCAACAAAACAATTCTACAGAGGAAGTTACACCTGTTCTCAATAATGTGTCAATGTATGCTTGTTCCTGATGCCTTAGTTGAGATACAGCAAACAATGTAATAACAGGTTGAAATCTGATACTTTGGCAACAGTTTTTATGGCTGTTCTTGAAGCTGAACAACTTGTGCCACCAACTTTCATCTGTGCTCCCTAATATTATTGGAAAATTAAAAAAAAAATATTCTTTATTTCTTCAGGAACACATGATTCTTTTAGCTGGGGTCTTGATGTTACAGGAGATATTGGCCCAGATAACCTACCTTTTGTCAAGACCCTGGTGCAGTTATTTCCTGGGACTGCCAAGGCCATCATAGCCAAGTGGAGTAAAACACAGAGCCTTAACACAGTGGAACAGCTCAAGGCTGGGATAAGGTATGGTAATTATTCTGTATAATCAAACGTCATGAACTTATAATTTCTCCCAGAAATGTGTAAGGCATTGCCTGAATTACCTTGAAAATACTAGTGGATGTTTTCAGTGTACTGGTATGTGAATCTCAGGATTGCCCCCCCCCCCCCCATCTCTCCTAAATCTTATGATTAACAGCCAATACTTAATTTTTTTTCATTATCTGTCACTTTGCTTATATTTGGTAAAATATTCGAGAAATGTATAAAATGCCTCAAATAGCTAATTCAAAAGGAGTATATTTTCTTTCCTTGGAAGGGGGGGGGGGGGGGATTGTCCTCTAATTGAATCTTGGAATATTTTTCTTTCCCATGTGGATTTTTAAAGATATATATATATATATATATATATATATATATATATATATATATATATATAATGCTTAACAGTTTATCTCATGCACTTAAGTATCAGAACTATTATTTAAACACTTTTTCCCTCATCCATGCAGATTAAAAGAGAATTTAAAAAGCAAAATGACCAGCTATTTATTAGTACACAATTATCCATACTCATAATTGAAATGTGCACATTCATCCACAGTAACTTTTAATTTGGTATCAATTTTATTTCAGATATTTTGATATAAGAGTCACTTTAAAAAAAGACACACAAGAACTTCATGCAGTTCATGGTCTGTACGGGAGAAAAATGGAGATGGAACTACAAGACATCTCACAGTTTCTGGACAACCACTCTAAAGAAATTGTCCTACTAGACTTCAATCACTTTTATAGCATGGATGAGGAGAACCACATACAGTGTATATCTCTCATACAGCACATCTTTGGTCCTAAACTCTGTCCACTTCTGGACACGGACAGCGTGACACTGGACATGTTGTGGGAGAATGGACTTCAGGTGCTGGTGTTTTATCATCATGACATAGTCACAAACCATCTAAACCTGTGGCCAGGATGCACCATACCGTCTCCATGGCCAGACACAATGGATATCAACAAGTTTATCACCTTCTTAGAGCAGAACTACCGGCATGGACGCTCCCCGTGTGCTTTTTACGTCACGCAGGGCATCCTAACACCTGATAGCTCCACAGTGGTCACCAATCTGTGTGGGGATTTGAGAAATGCTGTGGCCAAGAGAGTGTGTGGACCTCTCCATCAGTGGCTGTGCACCAAGCGGTGTGGGCTGACCACCGTCAATGTTGTCATTTCTGATTTTGTTGAGATGGATAATTTCATAGGCACTGTGGTTGACATGAATTATAAGTGATAAATATACAGGTGCCTATGTCATCATTCCTCCACATTTGTCTTGTTATTATAATACAGCATTTCCAACAGTAATCAAGAATTGCATTTACTTGTCTTATTGACAAATATTTGTTATGCAGGGTATTCCCAAATTTTAGTCATATAGGTAATAACACTTTTTAATTATAATGTTTTTTTTTTTTTTTCAATTTCTCAAATTTCCAAAGTTGTGGGACAACAGGCCTGTATTGTTATAATATCCATTCTACATTGCTGTTAAAGCAAGGAACAATGTTTCTGAGTAAGTTCCAGCTAATTTGCATCATGTCATACTGGACAATATGTTGTGTCTATAAGTATACCAGTACATTAGTAAATATCTATATGATATATAAATTGAATGATCTAAGCAGATACTTATGTGATTATATATTACTGTGATATACAGTATTGAACACTTACTTCACTGGTCAGGGCCACAATTTTTAAACAAGTATTTACCCCTGTAGCATCAGTTGTGCATGTACAATATAAGATATTTTAAAATTGGTACTCTAGTGGTGTGGGATATCTTGGTATACATAATCACCACCATTTTATGACTGGTACTGATACATGTAGCTAGGTGAATTGAAACTTAATGTTCCATGCACTAAACGGAAGAGGCATTCTCCAAGTAAGCAGTACCTATTGCCCTAGTTGGGAGCACTGTGGCAGAAGCAGCATTAGGACTTAAAATGTGTGCCTTTTTGATTTTCTGCTACTCTGATTGATTGTAGACAGCCCTGGTATTTTATTTTATTTTATTTTATTTTATTTTATTTTATTTTATTTTATTTTATTTTATTTTATTTTTGTGGGGGGAGGGGTTTAGAAAAAGCAAAGGCAGTCCACCATAGCTTTTCCTATACAGTTGATGCTAAATCTGTTAATTGGGACAAATTTCAAAATTATTATAATAATCATGACATTCTGTGAACATTCAAGGCAATCTTTTACTGTTTCAAACCTAGGACAGACAATATGTTTTTTTTCTGTCCTTAGGCTAGTCCAAATGCACATTTTTCTTATAAGTATAATACAGAAATATGTATCCTTCCTTCATATTATATAACAATTAATGTAATATAGGGTATAAACCTAAAACCTGTTGGGATGGTGTTTTGTTCACTCTCTGTCTTTAATATTGTGCCCTGTGACTTAAGGGTGTGAATATTATAAGGGATCATAGAACTTTTCACATTGTGTGGTACACTTTTGTATTTTTATGTCATTTTGAGAGACTGACAACACCTGCCTTAACGTAATTAAGTGGATCATCTAGTAAATACTCCCCTCCACATGGCCAGTTAACCAGATTAATTTTGATTGGTCCAAACAGTCTGTACCATCACATGTAAAAAGGGCATAACCATTGATGTCATCACCGTTGTGTTTTTACATGTATGTCTCAAGTTAAAAATGGCTATGGTTTAATCCTAGGCCTTGTTTTTCACGAGAGCTATAGACCTATAGCTCTAAGGCAGGCCTATGAAACTTTCAGACGAAGTTCTTAGTGTTTGAAAATATTTTCATATTAACTGTTTCTTATTACCCATTAAGTTGGCAAGTGTACCAAATTGATTGGACTTTTTCCCCAAAAAAAATTAAGTTTTTAAAGAAGTTAAGCTGCATTTCCTTTAAAATATTTTTCAGAGGATGTTCATTTTTGTATCTGGAAATAGAAATAACAGAAATAAAATCATTATGATGGTTTCAGGACAGCTTTGTTTGATTTATTTTTTCACTCCAAATGGTTTTATTAGCATAGATGAATTTCCTCTTCGGGTTTTCTTAGAATTGATAATTTAAAAGGAAAATACAGTTGAAGATATTTGTGTAACAGTATGAACGGTTATATACTGGTAGCAAATTTTAAAGTAGGACAAATTATGTCTTAAAACTTTCTCTGTTTTCCCTTGAAAACCTGAAAATACAAAAATCAGATAAGGAAACGAATACTGATCGAATTATAGGTTTCGAGTTCAACTTTTTTAAGAAGACAGAATTTTTTCATGTCTCGAATTTGTTCATTTAAATTTCTGATTGGAGAACTTAGTGGGAGAACGTGGAAACGTCTGATTGTGGCATCGTCTTTACTACTGGTCGGGGTTGGGGAGGGGGGGGGGGGAATTCAAAATAACGGGTTATTTTTTAAGCAATGTTTATGTACTGTGCTCCCCAAAGACGAATTTTGCTTATATTTATTTTCTTCAAACATAACCGCATATTTTAACATTTCCTAGATGCTTTAATTCATATCACATATTGGAAAAAGACCCTTAAAAGTAATTTCGTAAAATGATTAAGAAATCATAATCGTGATATAGTGATACAGTTTTAATATTTTAAAAGAAAAAAAATAGTTCTGCTTTCGAAAAAAGTAACAAGAAGAGAGAACAAATAAATATATAAATAATTGTATGTCATCAGGTCTATTTTTAGAGTCCTGCAAATGTGCTTGTAAAAATGGAACTCTCAAGTGTTCAACTCTTCGTACACCCAACACAATATAACCGGTGCCTTGTATGAGTGTAGAGACCCCGCTGATATACCGGTAGTCGGTGCCCATTGGTGTCTGGGTTAATTATTCCATAGTAAAAGTGACCCTTTTATTCCAGCTAAAATTTTGTGTTTGCATAATCCTGATTTGCCCAGCTTTATAATTACATGTACGTATAGGCCGAAAACTTGCGTAGTAGTACTACTTTTCACTGCGGCAATTAAACAAATCAACAGTTATTGAATTCTGTATAAAACAGTCTCACAATTATTACAATATCTGCGTGTCGCCGACATGATTCAGATCGAGAGGCACTATTTCTGCAATTGCATTTGTGCAGGTACATTTAAGCCCGACTATAGATATTTATAATCTTGCACGTTATGACAAAAGGATGATTTTCTAGTTTGATGATTGTGTGGCGTTCTGATAAACGGGAGTGGCCCTATTCTAGATTTGGATTTATCAGGTCTACACTAGTATAATAGATAATATAATAATATAATAATATAATAGGCGTATGAGAGACGGAGAGACCATTACAGGATTAAACGGTCTTCCTTTCAAGTAGGGTCCGCCATATTTGATCCCTGGATCAGTTGAACCTAGGATCTTCTATTCAGAATGGCCCCATTGACATCAGTGTGACGGGTAGTGTAGTCCGCTAAAAACCGTAATCTGTTCCGTTATCTTGTACAGGTGACATTCGCCCCATGCCGTGTAGTATCTGTTCAGGTAAAAGTGATCCGTGGCGCGGTTGGAAAAGGTCAGGGCTCCGTATCTCGAAAGGTTCGCTATGTTGCGCACGTGCGCAAGTGTCTCGATTCCATGGCCCCGTATCTCGAAATAGAATCGGTTATGGAATCGAGACACTAACGTACGTGCGCAACATAGCGAACCTTTCGAGATACGGAGCCCAGGACGGCAATCTGGGTTGCATACCCAATACTACAGCCAAACACTAACCTGTACTAATCACATGGGATCTCAGGCTTCCATTCCTGTCACACTGACCGAGCTGTTTGGTTTCTTTAATAAGACAAGTAGTAGACTTTTGTATGAAATAGCAAAATTTTGATTTTAATTACATACTGGTATAACCCTTTTTTTTTTTTTTTTTCATTTTTACCTCCGCCAAGGAGGTTATGTTTTCACCCCTGTTTGTCTGTTTGTTTGTTTGTCTGTCTGTCATCAACATGACTCAAAAAGTTATAGACCGATTTTGATGAAATTTTCAGGAACTGTTAGAAGTGGGCCAAGGAAGAGATTATTAATTTTGGTGGTGAACCGGATCAATAATCAATCAATAATCAAAAATCAATCATCAACATAACTAAAAAAATTATAGACCGATTTTCATGAAGTTTTCAGGAACTATCAGAAGTGGGCCTAGGAAAAGTTGATTAGTTTTAGGTGGTGATCCGGTTCAATAATCAATAATAATAAAAAATTGCTGGCTTGGCGGAGGTCTGCGCTCTCGGAGTGCTTTTCTTATCGAATTTAAAAAGGTCAGTCATTATAACCAGCTACCATCTTCATAAGCTCCGATGGATGTATTCAGCATCAAGTACGCTCCAGAGAAAGGGTGTTAAACCGTTTTAAGTTGTATGTAAGGTTTTATAAGAAGTTGTGGATGGCAAAAATGAACATTTGGGGGGGGGGGGTTCAAACCATGGAGTGTACCTTTAAGTATTATCGCATAACATATTGCCAACGAACAGGACTGTAAAAAAATGAAACTCATCCTGCCAATTTATTACCAAGTGCCTTTCATATACCGTTTACGTTGCATTGTAAGTGTTAAATGTGCCGCTAGTTTTCACCATTTATCTGAAAAGGTGCTTGGATTTGACGGCACGCATCTCATGGAGGCTTTGTTACGCGGCCATGGCTAACTGTTCAGCAGACATTTAAATTGCGGTAGAAATAGGATAACGTCGTGATTCCAAACTAATTGGAAAGCCTCGAAGGGTATGAAACTAAGACGGGTAACCTTATATAGTATATGTGGTCGAAGTAACACCTATTGTCTTCATAAATGCTATGTTATATTTCATCATTCTGCGATAAATACCCGAATAGCAAAAATAAAAGTGAAGTCGAAAGTGATCAGATATACCGTTTCACATTCCAATTAAAATTACACAAAGGGTAAGGAAGCTTGGAAATAGCATAGGAAAGAAACTGCAATGCGAGACGTTCCATAGAGCTAACCCATTATTTGCATGCTGGCACGCATTAGTCTATCATCAAGTAATAAGCAGTCAACATCTTAGGGTGAAGCAAAAGGGAACTACAGACTTGACATTTAATATGGAAAAAAAAATTCCAAATAATTTTTCATCAGTTTTTTTCCTATTTTGCTGACTGATAAATGAAAATAAGGATTAAAATCGTGTTTTAATAACTTTTAATTATCTCTTTGATGTCATTGTGACATCAGTTCATTAATGGAATTCGCCAGAGAAGCAAACAAAAACACAATGCCTATTCTATGTCATACGACATTATAATAGATATTTTGGATCTCCATATTTTCCAAATTATTGTCTGTAAAAAGAGCTACACGCTCCACAGGACCCTCATGCCAGTGTCTAGTCACAAGTAACGGTCGCTGTTACGCCTGACCTCTTCTGGCTGCTACCAGCGCTCGCAAGTGGCAAGGCATTCCTTGGGATAGGTTTTTACAGATCATTCCAGGCTTCGGTCAAAATCTGTCCAATTTGGTCTAGTTTTGTCGTAGGACATGTAGGCCATTGATCTGGCGAGTAATCGCTTACCCACATATTGTCTATGTGGTCAATATGGCGATTTTGATGACCAAGGTAGCTGCTCATTCCCTTGGTTCTGTAAGTAATCTGCTATTGAAAGTGCTCTTTGTGAACCGGCAATCTCACCATGAAACCTAAAATTGTTCCTAAGTTGCCCCCTATCAAATGATAGTCAAGTGGTTCCCAGATTATTCCTTTATTTAATTTGGTTCAGGTTTTTGTCGATGACTACCTTTGGTGTTTTGGCACCAATGTTGTATTCACCCCAAATAGTGGACTCTTCTGGATGTCTGTAAACTCTGTTGTGACTAGTTGAGCGGTACGGGTGAAATATGACCTCAATAAAAAAAGCCACGAGGTTTCAGTGTTCAACTTAGAAACGGTCAAGGTCTCCGATTCATTAGAGAAACATACAACGATGTTTTGCTATTTACAGTGGGTTCCTCGGAGGTCGTCTGACATTCTAACTTGCTAAAACCAGTTTGGTGTTCACTAAGGGCCTTGAAAAATGCGTTTTGGTGGCAATTTACCCCTCATTTTGAACGGACTGGTGGTAAGATTTCAATACATTGGGTGTGTCCTCTGTGTAGGTACATCAGTCTGGGCATTACTTTATAAAACTGTGCGGACCGTTTCGTTTGGCGCAATTATCTGTCTGGCAATGTCTGTCTTTTTTCGCGCCATTCTGACACAGATTAACAAAATTGTAAAGCATTGCATAGCTCATTTTACACACTGCAAAACGACCACTTGCATTCAAAATTTCAAAATGTTCTATGCAGTAGTTGCCGATATATGGATACTTTTTTGACAGAACCATGCTTTGCGAAAGCCAAGCTTTGACCTGCCCAAAAGAGCACTACCCAATGAAATCACAGCATAGGCCCCTATTCCATAATTCAGCAGCACAATTGTAACAAACCTGGTATCAGTTAATTGGTAGCGACACACCTGACTACACACTTCTCCATTCACATATCTTATTTGAGATCAGAGTAAAAAGAACGCATTTTTACCTAGGCATACCCTCGAAACTGAAATATTCCATATTAAATGTCAAGTCTGTACTTTGATTGGCAGCGATTTGTTTTTGTTTTTGTTTTTTTCTTACTAGTTTTCAGGGACAGCTCGGCTGTATCTTTCACCAGGGAGTTGAGACCGTTTTCATACTGAATCGAGACGAAAAAATATGACGGTCTGATTGCGATGTATTGTAAACAGAAACGAGATGCAGTGGAGAGCTGTATTTCTTCAAAAAGAACCAAACTTTACTTTGAATTTTTATCTGTGTATGATCCCTTCACCAGAACGAGATTTAATGTAGTTATCGGAGCTGTTCATATTTTCTGCTTAATAACAGGACAGCAATATATTGCCTTAAAGCCGTGGTAA